CCCCAGCCCCTCCTCCCTCAGACTCAGGAGCCCAGGCCCCAGCTCCTCCTCCCTCAGACTCAGGAGTCCAGGCCCCAGCCTCTCCTCCCTCAGACTCAGGACCCAGGCCCCCAGCCCCTCCTCCCTGAGTCTGACCTGACTGTTCCCCCTCAATGTCTGTATCTTCCTGGGGCACTGGTGAGGCTGCTTTGGTCTCTTCTGGGGTTGGGGGCTTCTGGGGTGAGCTGGGTCCAGCTGCCTGAGTGGGCTTGGTTTTGGTCTGGGGACGCTGAGGAGGGAGAGTGGGTGGGTGAGGAGGATAGGAACAGTGTGGGTGTGATGGGGCAGTACCTGCAAGATGCAGGAATATGAAGTTTGGGGTGCCATAGCAGACCCATGTCATCCGCCCACTACACCCTCCCCCACTGGAGAGCAGGCATCAAACCTTTCGAGGAAGCTTGGGGGCTTCATCACCACTGCTGCCACTGTGAGAGGCCTCATCGTCCTCACTGCTCGAGTCTGGCCCTGCCATGAGGTACCTAGGGGAGTAAACAGGCCTCAGATAAGCAGGCCCGAGGGAAGTGGGGAGGGCGGGTGTTCAGGAAGCAACAGCCACTGGCGTTTACTAAATACTCACTCTGATGGGCTTCATGGCCTCGCTCCCAAACTACGCCCTCCCAGCTCAGGAAGGCCCAGTGAACCCACTCAGCCTGGCCACTTGCCCTGCAGACCTGGGCACCCCCTTTCTTCCCCACTCCATCTTTTTTTTTTTTTGTAGAACTCAGATTTTTTTTTTTTAAATTGAATACATTCTAATCAAATAGTAACAGCAATAAACACTTTGAAAAACAGGCAGGTTTCTCCCTGTATCTGGAAGAAAATTAAGTCAAAGTATTCTACACAGTAAAAGGGAGACAGCTATTTATGTCCATGGTATTCAAGGACAACCTGGAAATTTCTAAAGCCATTTCCAAAAAATCAATGGCAACAGGTTGGGACACAGCTATGTCAAAGGGTAAAATGCCTAGACCTACATTGGTTTTTATTAACAGGGATTGAGTTGCACCTATATTGCATGACATTCTTTTCTTTTTTTTTTTTTTTTTTTTTTTTTTTTGAGATGAAGTCTTGCTCTGTCACCAGGCTGGAGTGCAGTGGCGAAAGCTCGGCTCACTGCAACCTCCGTCTCCTGGGTTCAAGAAATTCTTATGCCTCAGCCTCCCGGGTAGCTGGGACCACAGGCACGTGCCACCACACCTGGCTAATTTTTTTTTGCATTTTTAGTAAAGATGGGGTTTCACCAAGTTGGCCAGGATGGTCTCGATCTCTTGACCTCGTGATCCATCCACCTCGGCCTCCCAAAGTGCTGGGATTACAGGCGTGAGCCACCGCGCCCGGCTGATCACATGACATTCTTGTCTTTGTTTTTTTTTTTTTCCTTTTTTCTTTGAGACAGGATCTCACTCTGTCACCCAGGCTAGAGTGCAGTGGCATGATCTTGGCTCACTGCAACCTCCGCTTCCTGGGGTCAAGCAATTCTGCCTCAGTCTCCCCAGTAACTGGGATTACAGGCGTGTGCCACTATGCCTGGCTAATTTTGTTTTTTGTTTGTTTGTTTGTTTTTTAGGTACAGACGGGGTTTCACAATGTTAGCCAGGCTGGTGTCAAACTCCTGACTTCAAGTTATCTGCCAACCTCGGCCTCCCAAACTGCTAAGATTACAGGTGTGAGCCACTGCTTGGGTGGCATTCCCCTCCCTCTTGGGGAAGAAATGTCTCAATTCAGAAAGGAATGAAAAATAAGAATCTAAGTCAATTTCTCATTAGGAGAATACCCACCATTTAAGGGGAAAATCTCAAAGCAAATACATTTTAGAGACCCCAACACTATAATCATGGTTCCTGAAGCCACTAACACTCCAGGAAAAGAATTTTCGTAGCTGTAACAATAGCAGCAAGTAGCCGGGCTCAGTGGCTCACGCCTGTAATCCCAGCACTTTGGGAGGCTGAGATGGGTGGATCCCTTGAGGTCGGAAGTTCGAGACCAGCCTGGCCAACATGGTGAAACCCTGACTCTACATGTTGTTGTTTTTTTTTTTTTTTGAGACAGAGTCTCGCTCTGTCACCCAGGCTGGAGTGCAGTGGCACAATCTTGGCTTGCTGCAACCTCTGCCTCCCATGTTCAAGTGATTCTCCTGCCTCAGCCTCCCAAGTAGCTAGGACTACAGGTGCATGCCACCATGCTCAGCTAATTTTTTTTTGTGTGTGTATTTTTAGTAGAGATGGGGCTTCACCATGCTGACCAGGATGGTCTTTAACTCCTGACCTCAGGTGATCTGCCTGTCACGGCCTCCCAAAGTGCTGGGATTACATGCGTGAGCCACTGCGCCTGGCCCTGTCTAAACTAAAAATACAAAAATTAGCCGGACACCTGTAATCCCAGCTACTTGGGAGGCTGAGGCAGTAGAATCGCTTGAACCGGGGAGACCTGGGAGGTTGCAGTTTGCTGAGACCACTCTAGTGCACTCCAGCCTAGGCAACAAGAGCAAAATTCCATCTCGAAAAAATAAAAAATAAAAACAGCAGCAGTTTGACACTTACATGGGACTTCCTACATGCCAGGTACTATTCTAAGCACGTGACAAATACTGAATCACTGAATCCTGAGGTAGGTGCTAGTTTCAGCCCCATTTTACAGGTGAGGAAACTACGGCACAGAGAGATTGTTTAATTTGCCCTAAGCCATAGGGAACGTATGCAGAAGCAAATGAATGTATTAGTTTCATTCTTCTGAGACATCCATGTTGAGACCCTTCTGCATTTAATTTGGTTGTTTTAAAGCCGGTGAAATGCTGTTTAGGTAAGTCATTCTCATAAAACAGTGGCTCACAGGAGATTCAGAGGATTTAAAATGTGGTAGTTCATTAACAGTAAACAGTAAGTTTACTTAACTTTTTCTTCAAAGTGCTCTGTATTCAAAGATTTCTTTTAAAAAATAAATGAAATTTGTGCTTATTAGGTATGGAGAGTCATCCCCTTGTGGTCTTCCTTCTATAGTTGAATTTTTATTTTATTTCCATTTTTTGAGATGTAGTCTCGCTCTGTCACCCAGGCTGGAGTGCAGTGGCATGATCTCGATTCATTTCAACCTCCACCTCCCAGGTTCAAGGGATTCTCCCACCTCAGCCTCCAGAGTAGTTGGGGCTACAGGTGTGCGCCACTATTCCCAGCTAATTTTTGTATTTTTGGGTAGAGATGGGGTTTCACCATGTTGGCCAGGCTGCTCTCCAACTCCTGACCTCAAGTCATCCACCCACCTTGGCCTCCCAAAGTGCTGGGATCACAGGTGTAAGCCACTGCGCTTGGCCAAACTTTTATTTTTGAGATAAGGTTTCCATTTGTCGCCTAGGCTAGAGTGCAGTGGTGCAATCATGGCTCACTGCAGCCTTGACCTCCTGGGCTCAAGCGATCCTACCACCTCAGCCTCCCAAGTAGCTAGGACTACAGGTATGTGTCACCACACCTGGATAATTCTTTTCATGTTTTGTAGAGATGGGGGTCTCACTACATTGCCTAGGTTGTATAGTTAATTGTTTTTATTTTACAAATGAGTACAAGCCAGAATTTTTAAAAATATAAAATGCTTTGTGAATTCTTTTTGTTAAGACCAGTTGCAAATCCAACACTGTTCATTTTTTTCCCTTTTATTCCATGCCCTCCCTTAAGTGCTGCCAGGCAGATAATAACCCAAATCTATTTCCTTCTGACCCAGATATAGCCCCAGCCCCTCCCCTCTTCTGTTCCTGAGGCCCCAGCCTACTCATGGGTCCCCACCTGCAGCCTCCCCTGATACTCCATCCCTCCCAGCAGAGCCTGCCCCTGCCCCCGTCAAACCTTCCATGACTCCCCTCTACTCAGAGAGGAGGCCCCTGGAGCCGGATGGGCTTCAGAATGCTGAATCTTTCAGATTTTAGAGAGGCAAATGGCTGGTGTACTGATTGTTACATAAACTCCCAGTAGGTCCTGGGGAAGCACCCCATGATCAAACCCACTAATATTTCTGTAGTTAAGACCATGACACACTTAAGGGAATAAAAAAAAAAAAATGTCTACAAATAGCCTCACATTAATTCAGGATGACTGCAGCAAAATGAGTTTGTGCTGAACCTAGAAAAGAACTTTCAGCTTCTAGAGATGTTTGGATGCCCGAACAGCAGATGAGGGTTCTGTGAAGCTGTATGGAGCCCAGTGTGTAGGCTGGGCTCCCGAAGCCCCTTCTGACCTGAGCCCACCCACCTCACAGCCTCATTAGCTCCCAAGGCAGATCATGTTTCAAATACACCAGGCATAGCTAACTTCTGAACACACTCAGGCCATGAAGGACAATCCAGTCTCCCTTCTAATCCACCAGACTGCCTTTGCTCAGTCCAAAGCCCTCTGTGGTTCCTACTGCCCCTGGTTCCATTTTTCCCGCCACTTCTTGCCCCTAGTAAGCTCAGCCCCACCTGCAACTCCTCCAGGCAGACGACAGGCTGCCCTGACTCGTCTCCTCTGCCCACCATGTTCTCTGCCTCTGTTCAGCCTGAAAAACCTCTTCTGGACCTTGAAAACCCCTTGCTCTTTGCGGGCCACCCCTTGAGGCTTCCACTGCACTGTTAAAATTCTGATCCCTCATCAAAGTGAGAAGCCTTCAAGGGCAGGGCTCAATAACTGGATCCTCAGCCCTGCACAGTCCAGCCTGGCACCAAGCAAAGGCTTCCAGGACTCCTTTGGTTTTTTTGGTTGAGACAGAGTCTCACTCTGTTGTCCAGGCTGGAGTGCAATGGCGCGATTTTGGCTCCAGGGTTCAAGCAATTCTCCTGCCTCAGCCTTCTGAGCAGCTGGAGTTACAGGCATATGCCACCACACCCAGCTAATTTTTGCATGTTTAGTAAAGACAGAGCTTTCCCATCTTGGCCAGGCTGGTCTTAAACTCCTGACCTCAAGTGATCCGCCCACCTCAGCCTCCCAGAGTGCTGGGATTACAGGTGTGAGCCACTGTGCCAGGACTCACTTTGAATGAATGAATGTGGACCCCAGCACTTGTTCTCCCACCCCAGAGTCTTTGCACAAACTACTCCTCCAGCCTTTTCTGATAAGCAGGCTTCACAGAGCCCTCTGTGGCCTCCCAGGCAGGTTCTCCTCCCCTCATCTGGAGTCCCCCAGCCCCTGCCATGCTCCTCTCAGGAGTCTGCTGACTCTGGGCTGGGACCACCTGCGTTCTCTGCTGGCGGGCCCCAGTCTGACTCCTCTCCAGATCCCTGGCATTGCCCAGCACAGGATAAAAAGCAGGGTTAGTGTGTGTGTGGCCTCACCTCCGGGAGGGCAGCCGCCGACGCATGCGGTGACAGTCCAGCACCCACTCCTTACGCACGATGCGGCCTCCGAGGCCTAGGACCTGGCTGTACTTGGGGGTGTTGGCAAAGGCACAGCTGGTGGGGAGGAGAAGTGAGGATGTCAGTAAGGTGTGATCTGAGGGGCAAAGGGGAAAGAGAGAGACAGGGAGACAGAAGAGAGAAAGAGAGATCATGAGATCGAGGTGGGAGAAACAGAAAGAGGTTGGATATCGAAGGAGAGACACAAAAATCAGAGAGCAAAAGACAAAGCTACAGAGTGCAAGCAAGAAAGAAAGCGAGTGAGCCAGAGAGAGAGACAGAGAGAGAGCATGCGACATAGTGGACACAGAGAGAAGGCACAAGGTGATGGAGACACAGGGAGCTGGGGGAGAGACTGCAGCGGCGCAGGGAGGAGGGGCACAGGCCTACATGAGGTGCGTGCTGTCCGGGGTCCAGTCTGGCCGATACTTGGCCCCCAGCTCTAGGGCCTTATCTCGCAGTTCGGAGCGAAAGGGGTTCTGGAAGCCACTCAGCACCACTACCACACCCTGAAGGATCTTCCCCAGCTCCTCTGGGCCAGCTCGGGATCGTCTGGGCTCGGTGCCTTCTCCTCGGGGCTCGCCTGTCACTACCCCCTGTGCTGGGGCAGGGACTGGGGCTGTGGCTGGCGTACGGGTGGGAGCTGGCACTGGGGAAAATAAAGTATAGATTCAGTTAGCACCACTGTGGCTAAACTCGCAGCCCCTCCTCCCTCAGACCCAGGAGTCCAGGACCCAGCCCCTCCTCCCTCAGACGCAGGGGTCCAGGCCCCCCGCTCTTCCTCCCTCAGACCCAGGGGTCCAGGCCCCCAGCTCCTATTCCCCTAGGACACAGGAGCACATGGCCCTATGGGAACATGGATCTAGTCAGCTTACATTTAGGTCTCTTGGAAACAGGTGGCGACAGGTGGGGTGGTGGTTTGCTGGGGGTCTTCTTTTCTTCTTGGTTCAAATCCAACTTCCTCTTCCCTTTGGAAGACTCTTGGGGCTGAGGGATGGGGATAGGTTGAGGCCTTCAGCTTTTCTCCTCCTCCACCCCACCAAAGTCTGATGATTTCACCTTGGAGGTGCTGCCTATGACCCTGGGGACTGGAGAGGCTGAGGAGGCAGCACTGGAGGCCTGGAGGGTGGCAGCTGCGTAGCTGGGTCCTGCCAGGTCACTGGCTATGGCTATGAAGGAAGAAAGCGGATCCAGGATGAGAGGGGTGGCCTCAAGACCCTTCTACTCCTATCTATGGGACACAGAGTATTGCTTCCAAAACCCAGCGATGATCCAGGAGTCCCATCCCCCAGACCTCTCATCCCTCAGGACACAAGAGGCCAGACCCACCTTCCTACACCCTGAGACCCAGGAGTCCAGGACTCCACACCCTCCTCCCTCACCAGGAATCTGAGCGCCAGCCCCTCTACCCTCAGACCCACGGGTCTACATCTCAACCCTGCTCACTCAGGACCCAGGTTGTCCACGCTCACCTGGGGATGTCTTTTTGACCCGGCTGAAGAAGAGAGCCCCCGGCCTCAGAGAGTTGGCGCTTTCGTCCTCCTCCTTCACACGGAACTGGCCGAGCTTGGTCACCGTCACCTTCTAAGGTCCCGCAAGGTCAGTGCTGTATGTGTGCTGCTGGCGGGTGGGGATGGAGAGGCAGGGGAAGGCTATGGGGAGTGACGGGTACAGCTTACCTGGGACGGGGCCTCTGCCTCATCTTTGTCTGGGGGGCTATGAAACCGTACAAAACTCAGGCCAAAGGGGGAGTCCTGGGAAAGGAGGGGTGGGGGTCAGGGAGTCTGGCCCAAGGACAGAGGCTAGGCTCCAAGACCCTTTCACTCAGGGAAACCCCTTCCTGGCTCTTTCCTTCTCATGAACACACGTGTTGAAGGAGGGGTCCTGATGGTGGTGATGACGATTATAGGATTAAGCTGTTAATGACTGAGCCCAAACTCTGAGTCCGGCTCCAAGCCCTTTTCACGCATTAGCTCTCCGAGCAACTGGCAGTCTATTGGGTGTCCCAGCGAATCCACTGCCCTGTGGACAAACTCCCCCTGTGGAATGGGAGGGAGGGCTGCGTTCCACTTCCAGAATACAGAAATGTTCCAAGCTCTCTCCTCTGCCAGCGAGAAGCAGACCCAGAAAACAGGAGAGGCCTGGGTCCCTGGATGACCTTGTAAGGAGCAGCCAGCTGACAGGCTCAACACTCCCCAGGACAGTTACCTGGGCAAGAAGCACACCTCTATTGTGTGGCATCATCACATACTCCAGTCTCACTGTTACCAGAGCTTTTAGCGCCCCTTAACCTACAGCAACCCTATAAGGATCAGGAAATGGAGGCCCAGAGAGGGTAAGTCACTTGCCCAAGATCACACAGCTAAAAAGTGGTATAGCCAGGACGTGAACTCAGTAGTCAGACTCTAGATCTCATGTTAACTACTAGGCCCACTCTACTAGGCCACCTCTCTAACAAGCCACTTCCCCTCTTCCAATTCCCCTCTGAGATTCTACAGTTCACCCTTCCTAGATTCCCTCCAGGAGATGAGACTTCACATTACAGGAAAGATCCCAAACCCATTTCAGGGAACACAGGGACCTGGCCTCCCCATAACCCCATGGGGACACCAGCTGTCTACTCCTCCGGTCCTATGGGACTCAATATTGGCCCTTATTTCCCTCCTTGCCCAGGATCAAGGACTCTGCACCCCTGGCTCCCACCCTAGGTACCTTGCTGTAGGGCTGGCTGCAAACAACTTTGACCCGGTCCCAGCGCTTCTCGGCTGCTGCCCGGACCAGCTTGTCAGGCCCAAACATGCGAACACGGTTGGGGTTCGAACCACTGCGGCTCTCAGAAGGGGACATGAAAGAGGAGGTGACCAGAAGGACCTGGGTGGGAGAAGCCACAGTGAATGAGAACCAGGGCAAGTTGGCTTAGATGAGAGCTTCTCTGGGCTTGGGAAGAGGGCAGAGGGCCCATGTAGGGGACTGGGAGCCTCCAGAATGTAGCTTGGGCCTAGATGTCTCCAGACCCTGCCTTTGTTTCCGGTCCTTGAGTCAGTCCTGCCTGACACAGGCCGCAGAGAGATTTTTTTTTTTTTTTTTTTTTGAGATGGAGTTATGCTCTGTTGCCTAGGCTGGAGTGCAGTGGCGTGATCTCGGCTCACTGCAACCTTCACCTCCCAGGTTCAAGCAATTCTTCTGTCTCAGCCTCCCAAGTAGCTAGGACTACAAGCGCATACCACCTCACCTTACTAATTTTTGTAGTTTAGTAGAGACAGTGTTTCACCATATGGGACAGGCTGGTCTCAAACTCCTGACTTTGTGATCCACCTGGCTCAGCCTCCCAAAGTGCTGTGATTACAGGCATGAGCCACAGCGCACGGCTGGGATCTTTTAAACCTCCAGATGTGAGTGACCCTTATCTAACTTGTGAGAACAGAACTCCTCACAAGTCTGTTCTCTCAAGGATTTAGAGTAAAAATTCATGTTGGCAATCTGCATTGAAAAACCCTAGCTGAAGCTGGGCACGTTGGCTCACAGCTGTAATCCCAGCACTTTGGGAGGTCAAGGCAGGCAGATAACTTGAAGTTAGGAGTTCAAGACCAGCCTGGCCAACATGGTGAAACCCCGTCTCTACTAAAAATACAAAAGTTAGCCAGGCATGGAGGTAGGCACCTGTAATTCCAGCTATTTGGGAGGCTGAGGCAGGAGAATCGCTTGAACCCAGAAGGCAGAGGTTGCAATGAGCTGAGATTGCACCATTGCACTCCAGCCTGGGTGACAAGAGGCCAGGAGTTTGAGACCAGCCTGGCCAACATGGTGAAACCCCGTCTCTACTAAAAATACAAAATTCGCCGGGCGCGGTGGCTCAAGCCTGTAATCCCAGCACTTTGGGAGGCCGAGGCGGGTGGATCACGAGGTCAAGAGATCGAGACCATCCTGGTCAACATGGTGAAACCCCGTCTCTACTAAAAAAAAATACAAAAAATTAGCTGGGCATGGTGGCGCGTGCCTGTAATCCCAGCTACTCAGGAGGCTGAGGCAGGAGAATTGCCTGAACCCAGGAGGCGGAGGTTGCGGTGAGCTGAGATCGCGCCATTGCACTCCAGTCTGGGTAACAAGAGCGAAACTCCGTCTCAAAAAAAAATAAATAAATAAATAAAAATAAAAATACAAAATTCAGCCAGGTGTGGTGGCAGACACCTGTAATCCCAGCTACTTGGAAGGCTGAGGCACGAGAATCTCTTGAACCTGGGAGGGGGAGGTGAAGGTGACAGTGAGCCGAGATTGCGCCACTGCACTCTAGCCTGGGTGACAGAGCAAGACTCTGCCAAAAAAAAAAAAAAATACAGCCACTTTTGGTTAGGTACATTCTATTACAAACTTAGTCACTTAGTCTTTTTTCTAACATGCTGTGAAATTTATAAAATTGGACAATAAAGTCTTTTGTTGAGAAAAACAGAACATAACTATAGGTATCTTGGTGCCCAGCTGATTGTGCAAAGGAAACAAGAAAGACAATTATGCAGAAGGGAAGCTTTCTCTCTGACCTTGACTCTACTTGGTTATAAAAGGCCTGATTTGGAGCGGACAGGGAAGCTGCATTTATCATCTGGTAACTGAAAGGGGTAAGGCAAGCTGTGGTTGATAGCTGCTATCCACATGAACAGAGATTTCCTCTGAGGGTTAGACCGCTGGCTTCCTTGATTTTAGGGCCTTACACTTGGGCTTAACCAGCTTCCCTGGTTCTCCAGCTTGCAGACAGTCTATCATGGGACTTTGCAGCCTCCATAATCATGTGACCCAACTCTCCTAATCTCTTCTCTCTATATCTATACTGTATCTATAACTATCGGTTCTGTCTCTCTGGAGAACCTTGACTAATACAACTAGCCATTCCACCTTGCTAGAAAAGAGCAAAGGTAAATAAACATTCACATACCAGATACAATAAAATTTTAGCTAAAAATGTACTTACTCTAGAGCTGAGCCCAGTGGCTCACGCCTGTAATCCCAGCACTTTGGGAGGCTGAGGTGGGTGGACCACAAGGTCAGGAGATCGAGACCTTCCTGGTTAACATGGTGAAACCCCATCTCTACTAAAACAAAAAATTAGCCGTGCGTGGCGGTGTGTACTTGTAGTCCTGCTACTCGGGAGGCTGAGGCAGGGGAATCACTTGAACTTGGGAGGTGGAAATTGTAGTGGGCCGAGATCGCACCACTGTACTCCAGTCTGGAGATAGAGTAAGACTCCATCTCAAAAAAAAAAAAAAAAAGTACTTATTCTGTCTTTATCATTACAAAGTAGAATTCTGGCTGGGTGCGGTTGTTCACGCCTGTAATCACAGCACTTTGGGAGGCCAAGGCAGGCAGATTCCTTGAGCCTGGGAGTTTGAGACCAGCCTGGGCAACATGGCGAAACCCCATCTCCACTAAAAATACAAAAATAAGCCAGGTATGGTGGCAGGAGCCTGTAGTCCCAACTAGTAAGGAGGCTGAGGTGGGAGGATAACCTGAACCTTGGGAGCCTGAGGCTGCAGTGAGCCATGATCATGCCACTGTACTCTAGCCTGGGTGACAGAGTGAGACCCTGCCTTAAAAAAAATAATAATAAAGTAGAATTTTGATCTAAATCCATTTGCCAAAAAGAACACATAACTTTTTTTTTTTGTTTGTTTTTTGAGACAGTCTTAGTTTGTCATCAGGCTGAAGTGCAGTGGCATGATCATAGTTCACTGCAGCCTCCACTTCCAGGGGTCAAGGGACCCTCCCACCTCAGCCTCCTGAGTAGCTGGGATTACTAGTATGCACCACCATGCCCGGCTAATTTTTGTATTTTTTGTACAGACAGGGTCTCGCCTTGATGCCCAGACTGGTCTTAAACTACTGGCTTCAAGTGATCCTCCCACTTTGGCCTCCCAAAGCACTGGGATTACAGGCATGAGCCACGGTACCAGGTCAGAAACTCCATTTGTTAAAATGTACCTTGTAGAGCAGAAAAAGCACTTGATAAGATTCAACACACATTCATGGAGGAAAAAAAAAAAAAAAGCAAAGCTCTCAGCAAACCAGAAATAGAAAAGAACTTTCTCAACCTGAAAAAGGACATCTATAAAAAACAAACAACCTACAGCTAACGTCATATTTAATGGTGAAAAACTCAACAGCTTCCCCCTAAGATCAGGACCAAGGCAAGGATGTCCACTTTCACCACTCCTGTTCAACACTGTATCAGTCAGCGTGACATGGTGAGGAAAAGAAAAAAGAAAACTACCTTTCTTCACAGATGATGTGGTTATCTATGCATAAAATCCCAAGAGATCCAGATAAACTACAAGGTTTAGTAAGTGAAGGTCAAAAGATAAGAAGTCAATATACAAAATCAATTGTATACTGCACATCACTTCTCGGGTATTCTGCCCAAAGTGTGCAACCAAAATTAATCACAAAGAAACATCAGATATTTTGTACAATAAGTGACATCTGACAAAATCACTGACCTCTACTCTTCAAAAACATCAAAGGCACAAAACCCAAAGTCACAGGAACCTTTTTTTTTCCTTCATATGAGCTGTGGTTTTGTTGTATTTCTCTTTTCTCTTTTTTTTTCTTAATTTCCCTTTTTTCTTTCTTTCTTTTTGTGACAAGGTTTTGCCATTGTTGCCCAGACTGGTCTCAAACTCCCGAGGTCAAGTGATCCACCCGCCTTGGCCTCCCAAAGTGCTAGGATTACAGGCATGAGCTACGATGCCAGACCTTCTTTTATTTTTTAGTAGAGATGTGGTCTCAGTATGTTGCCCAGGCTGGTCTCTAACTCTTGGGCTCAAGTGATCCTCCCACCACGGCTTCCCAAAGTTCTGGGATTATTGGCATAAGCCACCATGCCTGACCATCACAGGAACACCTTAATAAAAGGAAAGCAAGGAGATGTGACAAATCAATGCAATGCATGATCCTGAATTTTCTTTTGCTGTAAATAACATTATTGGGACAATGAAGGAAATGTGAAGAAAGTCTGAGATTAGATGATATAGCATTGTATCAATGTTAATTTCCTAATTCTGTAATTGCACTGCAGTCAAGTAAGAAATGTCTCTGCTTTTAGGAAATACGGGAGTATTCAGGGATAAAGGGGCATCATGCACACAATTTACTCTCTGTTCAGGAAAAAAAAAAAAAACCCTATGTACATATTTGTTAACTTTGAGGAATATGAATGAAGAGTATATGGAGGCTGAGGCAGGTGGATTGCTTGAGCTCAGGAGTTTGAGACTAGCCTGGGCCACATGGCAAAACCCCATCTCTACAAAAATACAAAAGTCAGCTGGGCATGGTGGTGCAAGCCTGTAGTCTCAGCTACTTGGTGGGGGTGAAGCAGGAGGATTGCTTGAACCCGAAGGTCAAGGCTGCCATGAGCTGAGATCATGCCACTGCACTCTAACCCAGGTGACAAAGTGAGACCTTGTTTCAAAAAAAAAAAAGAAAGAGTAGGCCAGGTTCACGCAGTGGCTCACGCGTGTAATCCTAGCACTTTGGGAGGCCAAGGCAGGTGGATCACTTGACCTCAAGAGTTCACGACCAGCCTGGGCAACATAGTGAAACCCTGTTTCTACAAAAAATATTTAAAAATTAGCCAGGCATGGTAGCTCACACCAGCTACTTCGGGGGCTGAGGCAGGAGGATCACTTGAGCCCAGGAGGCAGAGGTTGCAGTGAGCCAAGATCACGCCATTGTACTCCAACCTGGGCAACAGAATGAGACCACCATCTCAAAAAATAAAAAAAAAAATAAAGTATATGGTTAAAAAAAGACAGTTTGGTATTGGCATAAAGAAAAATACACATATCAATGGAACAGAGAAGAGAGTACAGAAATAAACCCATACACATGGTCAATTAATTCTCAACAAAGAGTCAAAATGATTCAATGAGAAAAGGGAAGTCTTTTTTTTTTTAAAGTATTTTCAGCCAGGCACAGTGGCTCAGGCCTATAATGCCAGTACTTTGGAAGGCCAAGGTAGGGGGAGCGCAGGAGTTCAAGACCAGCCAGGCAACGTGGTGAAACCCCATTTCTATAAAAATTTTTTTAAGGCCGGGCGCGGTGGCTCAAGCCTGTAATCCCAGCACTTTGGGAGGCCGAGGCGGGTGGATCACAAGGTCAAGAGATCGAGACCATCCTGGTCAACATGGTGAAACCCCGTCTCTACTAAAAATACAAAAAATCAGCTGGGCATGGTGGTGCATGTCTGTAGTCCCAGCTACTCAGGAGGCTGAGGCAGGAGAATTGCCTGAACCCAGGAGGCGGAGGTTGTGGTGAGCCGAGATCGCGCCATTGCACTCCAGCCTGGGTAACATGAGTGAAACTCCGTCTCAAAAAAAAAAAAAAAAAATTTTTTTAAAACTTAGCTAGGCATGGTGGCTCATGCCTACAGTCCCAGCTACTTAGGAGACTGAGGCTGGAGAATCCCTTGAGTCCAGGAAGCGGAGGTTGCAGTAAGCCAAGATCATGCCACTGCACTCCAGCCTGGGCAACAGAGTGAAAGCCTGTCTCAAAATAAGTAAATAAATAAGCATTGTCAACAAACATATAACAAAGATACAAAAAAATGAACCTTATTCCCTGTTTCACACAATACACAAAAATTCACTTGAAATGAAACAGAGATCTAAATGTAAAAACTAAAAATAGAAGGCTTCTAGAGGAAAACATAGGGGACAGTGATAGGCAGAACAACAGCTCCTCAAAGAGCTAATCCTTGAACCTGGAAATGTGCAGATGTGAAGTTGAAGATGATAAAATGGGGGAGATGACCCTGGATTATCCAGGTGGGCCAAGTGTCATCATAAGGCACTTTATAAGAAAGGAGGACTGGGTGTGGTGGCTCATGCCTGTAATCTCAGCACTTTGGAAGCTTAGGGTAGGCAGATCGCTCGAGCCCGGGAGTTTGAGATCAGCCTGGGCAACACGATGAAACCTGTCTCTACAAAAACCATAAAAATTATCCAGGACTGGTGGTGCATGCCTGTAGCCCCGGCTACTTGGAAGGCTGAGGTAGGAGTATCACTTGAACCTCGGAGGTGGGAGTTGCAGTGAGCTGAGATCATGCCATTGCACTAGCCTGCGTGACAGAAATGAAACCCCATCTCAAAAAAAAAAAAAGCTGAAATAGGCAAGAAACTGGATTTTCACTTAGAGCCTCCAGAAGGAACGCAGTTCTGTCTACACCTAGATTTTAGCCCAGTGAGAGTGATTTTAGACTTCCAATCTGCAGAACAGTCAGATAGTACATTTGTGTCATTTTAAACCAGGATGCAAACTTGCTCTCTTCCCTGATGTGCAGTTTACCACCCCGTGTCTGCCTTCTGTCTCCTCTGCTCACTGGGTGATCCTCCAGAGGGCAGCAATCAGGTATGACTCCCATCTGCCCCATGTCTTCCCAGCCCCAGGCCCTGGGGGAAAGGGTGATGCGGGCATGAGGGGCAGAAGTCGGTATAGGATCCACCTCACAGCCCTGCTGACTTACCTCATAGTCTTGCTCCCCAGCACCTCCAGCTGAGCTGCCCACCAGCACCTCCACAAAAGCTGAGCCATCATTCCCGATGTCCACACTGTGTATCTGCTCCTCCTTCTCCAACTGTGGGCAGACAGAAAGGCCACTGTCAGTGCCTGCTTCACCCCTGGGCTCACTGTAGGACCTCAGGATGAATCTCCTCTGGATTCCCGTGTCTCTGTAATGTCAACTCTGTGATGGGGAACACCAGGGCTGAGTGGTGCCATGTGTCCCCTGGACGAAGCACAGAGTATGGCATGGAGCAAGAACTCACAAAATAGTCACTGAATGAATGAATACACCCCTACCCCACACATACCTGCTTCCTCAACCTCTCCAGACTCCACCAGGTCAGCCTATCACATGCCACCATGAAGCTCTCCTTGGTAAGCACTGGCCAGAGTTTTAACTTTATTCAAATCATCATGCAGGCAAACAGCACATGTCACCCCCTACCCACAATCGCAAAGGACTTCATGAAAACTCCCTGAGGGCAGGGACTTTGTCCGGTCTTGCTCACTACTGGTTCCTGGGTTTGAATCCCAGCTCTGCTACTCACTAGTTGTATGACCTTGGCAGTTAACCTTCTGGAGCTTCAGTTTTCTCATCTGTAAAATGGGAATGATCACCAGATCTAGGATTACACACATAAATAATGGCCACAGGGCATGGCGAGGAGCAGGCAATTAACTGCTGTCAGTCAGGAGGTATTATTAGTCAGTGCTTGACAACTATTTGTTGAAAGAAAAGAGCTATCTGTAGATCTCCAAGGATCTGCCATTCCTGTCTGACAGATGACGGTGCAGAAAGCCGAAAGGGGGTGGGAGGCAGTTAGGAATGGTTGAGGCAAGTGTCCTGCCTTCCGATTTGGGACTCTTTTATTAGGATGCTAGGATGACACATTATTACAACTCTTGGAGGCACCTGGGCCAGATGCAGTGGCTCATGCCTGTAATCCCAGCACTCTGGGAGGCCAAGGCAGTGGACCACTTGAGGCCAGCCCGGCCAACATGGCGAAACCCCTTCTCTACGAAAAATATAAAAATTAGCCGGGCATGGTGACACATGCCTGTAGTCCCAGAAATTCAGGAGGCTGAGCCACAAGAATCTCTTGAACCTGGGAGGCAGAGGTTGAAATGAGCAGACATTGTGCCACTGCACTTTAGTCTGGGTGACAGAGCAAGACTCTGTCTCAAAAAAAAAAAAAAGTACCTTCCACCACCCTACAGTGCCCTCTCCCACCTCTGGTGATGGCAGATGCTCCAGTCTGCTCTGCTGCCTCCCTGTCAGCTCATCTAGACATCACCTGCACACTGCTCTCAACAGGAACACCACTGTATGGGATGAGGGAGTCTGGACTTGGGGTGAGGTAGGCCTGGGCTCAAATATAGCAATGCCATTTCCAAACTGCACAACCCTGGGTGACGTAGTCAACGTCTCTGTGAGGCAGTTTCCTCACATGCAAAAAGGGAAGGTGGTTTCCTTCCTTGGCCAGGCGCAGTGGCTCACGTTTGTATTCCCAGCCCTTTGGGAGGCTGAGGTGGAGGACTGCTTGAGGCCAGGAGTTCAAGACCAGCCTGGGCAGCATAGCCAGAACTTGTCTCTACAAAAAATACAAAAATTAGCTAGGCATGGTGGCACACACCTGTGGTCCCAGCTACTCAGGAGGCTGAGGTGGGAGGATCACTTGAGCCTGCGGAGGTCAAGGCTATAGTGAGTCGTGTTCGCATCACTGCACTCTGGGCGACAGTGATGAGACCTTGTCTCCAAAAAAAATTTACCCTCCCTCCGGAGGAAGTTGAGATGACACAGAATTAACAACTACAACCACAATTGCGGCCAGCATCTGAGTGCGCTCAGTGCTCCTGGTATGCCAGACTCCTGCTAATAATACATGTATCTACTCTCCTGCAACGGCTCTGCCAGGCAGCTGCTATAATTATCTCCATCTTACACATGAGCAAACGGAGGCAGGAAGCGGTTATGTAACTTCACAGCTGGTGGGTGGCAAAGCCGGACCGGAACCCAGGCAGGCTGGCAACAGTCCATGCGTGCTCCCCCATCACACCACTGACGTGCGGGAGGAGGAAGCTGGTGTGGGAGGAAGGGCCTGCCTAAGGCTGGGGCTGGCAGACTCCACTGCCACTCTCAGCCCTGGGCCCTGGGCAGTGAGAAGTCCCAATCTGGGCCGGGCGCGATGGCTCACACCTGTAATCCCAGCACTTTGGGAGGCTGAGACAGGTGGATCACTTGAGGTCAGGAGTTTGAGACGTGCCTGGCCAACATGGTGAACCCCGTCTCTACTAAAATACAAAAATTAAAATTAGCCAGGTATGGTGGTGAGTGCCTGTAATCCTAGCAACTGGGGAGGCTGAGGCAGAATCACTTGAACCCAGGAGGCGGTTGCAGTAAGCCGAGATCATGCCACTGCATTCCAGCCTGGGCAAGGGAGCAAGACTGTCTCAAAAAAAAAAGAAGTCCCAGTCTGACTGCGTAGCGTCTGGTCAGGCTAGGTCACTCTCCACCAGTCACACTGGCCTGCCTTCTGTGCCAAGAACTGTCTGCTCCTTCCCACCTCAGAGCCTCTGTACCTGCCAGTCTCCCTGCCTGGATCACTTTTCCCTCCAACATACCCGTAGCTGGGTCAGAGTTTGCCTTCTGTGATTCGGGTGCCCACTCAGATGTCACCTGAGACCATGAGCAGCCTCCCTCACCCATAGTCGGCGCCACTCCCTATCTCCTACCCCGGCTTTACTTTCCTTCATGGTTACCGCCGGGCATTACACAGTTAACATCTTTTTTGTTTTTATTTGTCTAGCATCTGTCTCTCCCACTAGACTTTTAGGCTCCATGAGAGAAAGGACAGTGTCTTAGTTGTTGCCTGCTGCGTCCCCAAGCCCAAGAACAGTGTCTGGTCCTTCCCAACTCTGCTGATTTCCTGCTGTGTGATCCTGGAGCAAATGGTTTCATTTCACCCCTTGTACCACAGTATCCGAACCTGTGAAATGGGGACAGTAACAATATCTATCTCATAAAGTTGTTGAGAACATTCAAATCCATACCAAGAATGAGAAATAACATACCAAGCACCTGGAATACTGCCTGGCACGGAGCAAACACTATATAAATGTCAGCTGCGAATATCATTAACACCGCAGGCCTCTAGTACATTCCCAACGGATGGACAGACAGATGCAGAAGAGGTCCCCAACGACCATTTGCAGAAGTTACTACTCAGAGTTACTAAGCAGTAACTCTGGCTCTGCCCTCCCTTACCAAGTGGCTCTGTTGAGGCCCTTCTCTGCTGCTTGCCTGGGTGTCCCATCTGTCACAAGGGGATCATCGTGGCGAACATTTTCAGATTCTCATCATGTGCCAGGTGCTTGGGATATGAGTTTCCTGTTACTGTTGCACAAATTAGCATAAACTTTGTGGCTAAAACAACACAAATTTATTATCTTACAGACCTGGAGGTCAAAAGTCTGAAACTGGTTCTTACAGGGCTAAAATCTAGGTGCAGCAGGGCTGCCTTCCCTCCTTCCAGGAGCACGAGAGGAAAATGTGTCTCCTTGCCTCTTCAGCTTCTCGAGGCCACCTGCCTTCTTTGGCTCACAGCCCCTTCCTCGTCTTCAAAGCTGCTGAAAGTGCTGGCAACACTCCGGGCTCTGCTTGCATCTTCACAGCTCTGGTTCCAGCTCTCTTGCCTCCCTCTTTCCCTTATAAGGCCACCAGGGGTTACATGAGGCCCAACAGTTAATTCAGGGCACTCTCCTCATCTTAAGATCCTTAATTTAATCAAACCCACAAAGCTCCTTTGGCCATTAAAGTGAGTTATTTCCAGGTTGTGGGGATAAGGACGTGAACATCTTTTGGGGGCCACTGTTCTGTCCACCACGCTTAGCTAAGCATGGGCCAGGCACCACTGAAGCCTTAAATACCATGTTAAATGGAAGCTTCTGTTACTAGTTTCACAGATGGGGAAACTGAGGCTCAGACAGGTTAAATCAACAGCTTACATGGTACACAAGCTAATAACTAGCAGAGTACTTCAGACCCAACTGCCTGACTGCAAAGCACTGTCCAATACGTATCAACACTGTTTTCAGTTTCTCTACTTCCATCCCTGAGTCAAACACAACATCTTTACCTCTCCCACAATATTAAGCACGGTTCCTAAATCTAGTAGGATGGAGATGCTTGTCTTTTAAATGAACGATTCCTACTGCATATATAACTATTTCTACTTTAAACACACACAGGCACTCCCTGACATTTCTTATTCATATATTTTTTAAAAATCCGCTGGGCACAGTGGCTCATGCCTGTAATCCCAGCACTTTGGGAGCCAAAGTGGGTGGATCATGAGGTCAAGGGTTCAAGACTAGCCTGGCCAACATGATGAAACCCCATCTCTACTAAAAACACAAAAATTAGCTGGGCGTGGTGGCAGGCGTCTGTAATCCTAGCTATTCGGGAGGCTGAGGCAGGAGAATTGCTTGAACCCAGGAGGTGAAGGTTGCAGAGGGCCAACTGCACTCCAGCCTGAGTGACAGAGCAACACTCTGTTGGGGCAGTGGGGGGATCCTGGCCAGCAGTGGCTCCTGCCTGCAATCCCAGCACTGTGGGAGGCAGCAGAGGTGGGTGAATCACTTGAGGCCAGGAGTTCAAGACCAGCCTGGCTAACATAGCAAAAACCTGACTCTACCCAAAATACAAAAAATTAGCTGGATGTGGTGGCACGTGCCTCTATAGTTCCAGCTACTGAAGATGCTGAGACATAACAATGACTTGAACCTGGGAGGTAGAGAGTGCAGTGAGCTAAGATCAGCCACTGCACACCAGCCTAGGCAACAGAGCAAGACTCTGCCTCAAGAAAAAAAACAACAGGCCCAGTACAGTGGTTCATACCTGTAATCTCAGCACTTTGGGAGGCCAAGGCAGGTAGATCACTTGAGGCCAGGAGTACCAGACCAGCCTGGCCAATATGGTGAAACCCTGCCTCTAGAAAAAATACAAAAATAGCCAGGTGTGGTGGCGTGCACCTATAATCCCAGCTACTCGGGAGGCTGAGGCAGAAGAATCAC